AAAGTATAACTACATATACTCTTTACTATTCTCTAAGCTATATAATGCTAATTTAATCTTTAAAGTGTGACTAACCTAGTTGTCATTTAAGATACCTATGTTTGACCTGCTATAACAAATTTTGCTTCCTTTCTAAGCTCTTCTTTTTCTCAAAAGGAAATTTTAATAAATTATTAATTTAAATAAAAATTAACAAATATTAAATAAAATAAATAAAACCTACATCTTTTAATAAAGAAGATGTATTATTCCATTTTTCTATAGAAAAACATGTGCAATTCTTTCTTCTAAAGTTGTAGAATATTCAATTAGTATTAAATGATATTAAATATTTGTTACAATATTGTTTTTTGTTAATTGGATTAAGGGTTGGTCATATTAGTTTTTCAGTTAAAAATCAGTCAATAATTCTTGATCTAAGGATTGAATAGAATTATTTAAAACAACAATATCACTTTCATTTTCTGATGATTCAGCAGTACTATTTGAATCTTCCTAAAAATATTAAAAAATTAAAATTAATAAAATAAATAAATATAAATTAATTTAAAAAATTAATAAAATATTAATTATAAATTACAAAATCTTCATCTTCTTGAGTCATATATTCACATAAATCAAAAGCATCTATAAGAGAATCAATAGAATCTAAAGACATGTTGATCAAATTGTACTATAATAGATTTCTAAAATTTAAAAAAATATAATTAACAAAATTATCTATATATAATATTCATATATTTATCTAAAATTTAAACTAATAACTTTATTTAACAATATAAAAAGTTAAAAATTACAATAAAATTAATATAATTACATATACTATAACATATAATATATCTTTTATTATATATTAAAAAATAATTATAATTATTACATATTAAAAAAATAGTTATATAATTACTACATTATATTAAAAAAATAATTATATAATCACATTTAAACTAATTACATAACTTTATTTAATATAATTATAATACAAAAATTTTTATTACTAAATTTTTTATTATTATTTTTTTTTTTGTACTGTACCGTACCGTACCGTACCTATGCTTACTATTAACTATTTGGATACAGTATTTTTTTTTATTATATTTAATTTTTTTTCTGTACCGTACTGTACCCAAACTAGTAATAGCAAACTTGGGTACGGTAAAATTTTCTTTAACTTCGCTTATTTTTTTGGTGTACCCAATACTAAAAAAAAATTCTGGGTACGCTAATTACTTTTTTTTTTTGCGTCCCTACTAAAAAAAAATATACCTAGGTACGGTCATTTTTCTGTACCGTACCGCACCTAATACTTATTACTGTACCGTACCTTAAAAATATATACTCCAAAAATATAGAAGTTTTTTTTTACAGATAGATTCTACAATGCTGGGAATGCATTAAATTTTACTGTTGTATGAATTATAAACACAAATTCTTCGTAACTAATCTCTATGGTAATATACATACATATAGTTTGTACATCGAAAACGACACTAACTTTTAGTACATAATAATTCATACTGTAAGAATAGACAATATGGTTAATTGTTTTCATATTATAAATTTTATTACAAAATCGTACGATTTTAATCTCGTAAAAGGGCTTAAAATTTAAAATAGCCCCTCAATTACCCATTTTTGCATTTATAAAGAATGTTTTTCTTAGTTCTTTATACAGTTTTAATATTGATTTTTTCTATAATAGATTGTCAAAAAATTATAATCATCCTTTTTCTATACTAGATTGGCAATTCTAAATCAAAGAATTACAATCATGTGCATGTCATCCTTTTTCTATAATACGTAGATTTTCAATTCTAAATTAACGAATACCCCAACGTATCATATCTGATATGTTCAAGTTATTGCGAGTAATGTAATGATTCTACTAAAAGAAAATTGATTTAATTGCAATTAATTGCAATTATTTCGTCATTAATTGGGTTTCAATCAATTTTATGATAATTTTAATTTTTCGGGTAGGCCTGTTTCATATTAAAATGTAGCAATGCCGAAATGATCGTTTAATCATCTAGCCGTTTAACTGTAACCGTCTAATTATTTATTTAATCGTTTAAGAGTGTTCTCAAACAACTCCCTCAACGCTCAACGTGATAGGATAGTGATCAACGAACTCTAAAAAAAAAAAAAAGATGGTCGTGATCATCTTTTTTTCATAATTTAAACATTGGATACAAGTATAATGGTAATACCGTAAATTATAGTTTTTATTATATGAGTATGTAGTGAATAACCTAGTTACACACGGGTTTATATTTCAATCCTGTGGCCTTCGGCCACGTGATTGAAATATAAACCCGTGTGTAACTAGGTTATTCACTACATACTCATATAATAAATATATCTGTGCTTTAAAATCAAATTAAGCTAATGAATAATTTTTTGAAGACCAAGGGGAAATTGAATGCATGAAAATCATGGATCCAAGAATTGAGTCTACTTTTTATAGCTGTTTTCAAAAAGGTGTGAACGAACGTAGATCACCATATCATGGGAAATTGACGATATTTCCCAGATTTCCGGAGTTTTAAAGGCCCGCTTTATTCGGATCTTTAATTTTCCTGATTCTTTTGATTCCCACATAAGGTATATTGAACTTGTTGGTTCACACCTTTTTGAAAACAGCTGTAATGAAGGGAATTAATATATCACATGAAAAATTGCATAAAATCTAAGGTTTTAAATAAAAAAAAATTATATAAAGTATAAAAGTAATTTTCATAACACACCCTCTTAAATTTTGTGCGCGAAAACCAGACTTCGAGCTTTGAAGTTTATAATTTATCGGATTAAACATATCAGATTTTAGTGATTGAGTCTGACAGGAAATAAACTTGTAAGCCCTAAGCCTGGTGACACCCAGGTATTATAAGAACATCCCTATAAAAGGCTAAATGCTAATCAACATACCAAGGTTTTCACATGATACGTATAATGAAAATACTGTGAATCAGTTCTAAACTCTATACCGGATCAAATAAGTATATAAATCAAATTTATTTTATTGACATTCCCATTTAGTATTAAAATTCAAATTCATTAAAATGCATTCATTTGAAACAAACAAAATAATTAATAACGATATAGAAAGAACGGATTTAAGTAGATGGCGACTAAAAGTTGATCATGGTAGACAGACATGGCATTACTTAGATGATGATGAGATTAAAAATTGGCCTCAATCTGCCATTGATAAGTATTGGATTGGATTACCTTTTGTAAGTCTTTTTAAAAAAAAAAATATGTAGAATTTTTATCGGGTGGTAGTCAACAAAAAAATTTTTTATCAATACCCATTTTTAATATTCGTTTATAATAAAAAAAAAAAAAAAAAAAAGAATTCGAAAACATTTGAAAAACCAAAGACAGCTTTTGACACAGCTCGTAATGGGTTCGAATTTTTTAAACAATTACAAACTTCCGATGGTCATTGGGCAGGTGAATATGGTGGGCCAATGTTTTTGATGCCAGGACTTATTATTGCAATGTATATTACGCACATTCCTATTCCCGAAGCTTGGAGAATTGAAATTATTAGATATTTAATAAATCATGCAAATTCCGTTGACGGTGGATGGGGGTTGTAAGTTGATTTTTTTTATCGTTTTTTTTTTTTTTTTTTTTTTTTGCTTTAGGTGGGAAATTTATGACTTTTAATTTATTTAGACATATTGAACATCACTCGACAGTATTTGGAACTGCTTTGAATTATGTTGTGCTTCGTATCTTGGGTCTTGATCCCGATCATCCTGCAATGGTAAAGAGTAGAGCAACTTTACACAAACTTGGTAAGTGGTTAATACCGAATTTATTTATTATTCTTGTAAGAACTCACCAATACTTTATGTGCATTCTGGAGGCTCGTAGGAGGTGCAATTGGTATACCTTCGTGGGGAAAATTTTGGTTGGCAAGTTTAAATGTATATGACTGGGAAGGGCTTAATCCAATTCCGCCAGAACTATGGTAATTTCTCTCGATATATATATATACATACATATATAATATTTATTTATTTTATTTACGATGCTTAATTCCCTTTAAAAATGAAAAAGGCTTTTGCCATCTTATGTACCATTTCATCCGAGTCGTTATTGGGTTCATACTCGTGCAGTATACCTCCCAATGGGATACTGTTATGGACGTAGGTTAAGTGCCGAAATTACTCCACTCATTGAGCAACTTAGGCAGGAATTATATGTTCAACCATTTGATACAATTAATTGGTCTAAAGCTCGAAATAATATTGCTAAAGCTGACCTTTATATTCCACATACAAAGTTATTAAAGTTTTGCAATTGTATATTTAATTTTTTATAATTTATTCTTTTATTAATTATTATTTGAGGAATCTAATTCATTGCTATTTTTAGATATATTAAATATTTATGAACATCTTCCTAATTTTATTGGACTTCGAGATATTTCTATTAAAGAGAGTTATGAATTAATTAAACTTGAAGATGAAAATACAGAATATCTTGATATTGCTCCCGTAAATATTAGTTTTAAATATTGTGTATATAACATATCTTTTCTATTCGTTCATAATATTAAATATTGAGGATTTTCTTTTTAAATCGTTAGGTCAACAAAGTCCTTCATATTCTTTGTACATATTACGAGGAAGGACCGGATTCTAAAGCATTCAAACTTTCCAAAGAAAGATTAATTGATTATATGTGGTATGGAATATTTTAGCTTATTTAATTATTTTTAAAATTTATTTATTAAAAATTTATATTAAAGTTTTATTATTATATTCATGTGTAGGTTAGGTCCAGAAGGAATGATGATGAATGGTACAAATGGCACTCAAGTCTGGGATACTGCACTTACAGCTCTTGCTGTAATTGAAGCAGGTAAATAATTGCATCTTTATCAAATTTAATGAATATAATTATTTAAAACTTATTAATCTTTTGTCCTTTTAAATAGGTCTTGCGGATGATCCATCAAATCATCAATCAATGATACATGCACTTGAATTTTTAGAAGATGCGCAAATAAAAAAAAATCCTAAAGATTCTAAAAGATGTTATCGAGATAACACTATAGGCGCTTGGGGTTTTAGTACCCGTGATCAGGGATATAATGTTTCTGATTGTTCCAGTTTAGGTATCAAGGCTGTACTTAATCTTCAAAAACTTAGGTATGTTTTCTATGTGAAAATTAACAGCCATTGAAAAATAAATTTTCAATTTATTATTTTTTTTTGATATAAATTAGTTATACACCAGATTTGATATCTAAAAAACGGCTTTGTCAGACTATTGACATATTATTATCCATGCAAAATGCTGATGGGGGGATTTCGAGTTATGAGCTTATTAGAGGTTCAAAACTTATGGAATGGTTAAATCCTGCGGAAGTTTTTGGAAATATAATGATTGAATATAGTTATCCGGAATGTACATCTTGTGTTCTAACTGCTTTAAATACTTTTCGGAAATGGTATCCTGACTATAGGGCTACTGAAATAGAGTAATCTTTTTTTTTTTTTCTAAAATTTATAAATTTACAAATTGTGATATATATATATACTAATTCCTTTTTTGGTGTGTTAGACAAATTACCAAAAAATCAATTCAATACCTATATAATTCTCAAGATGAAAATGGAGGTTGGTATGGTTATTGGGCTATTTGTTTTACATATGCTGCTATGTTTGCTATACAATGTCTGGCAACTTTTGGAGAAACATACGAAAATAGGTATTATATATAAATATCTTATAATTAATCTTGTATCATGGAAGAAATAAGTTTCCTTACTAAATATTTACTTATTAGTCAGGTAGTTAAAAAAGGATGTGACTTTTTGATTTCTAAACAAAAAAAGGATGGTGGTTGGGGTGAATCTTATAAGGTTTATATTATTATATTCGAAAGTTTTTATATTGTACTTATTATATTTAAAAATATTAATTTATTTTTCCTTTTTTTATAAACAGTCATGTGAAACAGGAACTTACGTACACCATGAAAACTCTCAAGTCGTAAATACAGCTTGGGCATTACTTGCTTTAATGGAAGGTAAATATCCAAACGAGGAGCCTATTAGACGTGGTATTCAGGTATTTATAATTTGATTTATTAAAATTGAAATTTATATTTATACATTATATAAATCAAAGCTATCTTTTTTTTGTAGCTTCTCATATCACGACAATTGCCAACAGGTGAATGGAAACAAGAAGCTATAGAAGGAATATTTAATCAAAATTGTGCAATTAGTTATCCAAATTATAAATTTATTTTTCCTATTTGGGCGTTGGGCATGTATGCCAAAATTTACAACAATCCTGTAATTTTTTAAGAAAAAAAATTTGTACACTGTTTAGTGTTAGCTTTTGAACTCTTAGTTTATAGCATATCATATTTAATTTTTTTTTTTATAATTAACTAGTAATACATGTATCGAAATTTCTGATTTTAATGCGCATCTATAAATATTCATATTTTACTAAGTTTACAGCTGTTCTCAAAAAGATATTTCCGAAACCTTTTTGCTAAAATCCGAAAGTTTTGGGTTTCGGATTATACTTTCCGAAACCTTTCCCGAAACCCGAAACCTCTCCCGAAATCTGAAATCTCTTCCGAAACTTAAAACTCTCATCCGAAACTCTAATTATGCAATATGTGTATTTATTTTGTGCAGCACATTAATATTATGTCAGATGTTTTATATTTGCTAAAAAATTTTAATGCCTGTTTATTATTTATATCGGAACCTTTTTTTCACTGCTTGTCATGTGACGCATAACACCCAATCATAGGTGTCAAAAGGTTTCGGATAAGCTTCGGATTATTGTTTCTAGGTTTTGGAAAGTTTTTTAAAAATCCGAAACTAATTTCGGGTATCTATATGGGAAATCAAAGAATCTGAAAATTCTGAATATTAAGGGTCTTGAAAATCTGAATTTCCCATAACATAGCGATTTATGTTCTTCCACATCTTTTTGAAAACAGCTGTAATGATTTTAATAATAAATATAATTATTTAATATACAATTTTTAATCCGAAGTATAAAAAAAATTTCCTATCAAATTTATATAATTTTACTATACCGAATGGTATTTAGAAGTCACATTGTACTACATATTCGAAGAAGTGTTTATTTAATTACATTTAATATCTTTTAATCAACTCATGATAAATTTAGTCAAAAAATTAGATAAATGAAACAGACGAATAAAGTAGGGATGTAACGAATTCTTTTTCTCAAACTTATAATTGATTGATATAATTGGTATATAAAATATAGTATCGTATAACGTTCGAGGGCGTTATTTCGGAATAACGCGCACTTTCTATAATACAGTAATATATTGAATATCAGTATGACACATGTGAATCGTGTTCAAAAATTGACCCTTGATTTCGAAATAACGCACATGGGCGTCCCGAATTGACGCGATTATATGGTAAATTACCATGTTTAATATCAAAACCATCAGTTAGATAAAATAAACTGTCGGCGAAAGTACACTTACTAATAAAAGAAAGCGAGAAGAAGCATGTTAACCCTGATCACCTTGAGGTTTTTTGATAAGATCGCAAAATTAAAATGACCAATCAACAACTCTAGTCTTTTTTTTTCAAAAAACAATCATTACAGTTGGTAATACTAGGTAATTATGGTGTATAAATAGCTTTCAATGATTTAATAATTTTAATAATCTATAATATATTTGGATGCCTTCTATATGAATAAAAACAAGTAGATTCGAAAATACAGTAGCTATTACAGTATTCTTAATATATTTGTTTAAAATATAAAAAAAAGCGTAAAAAGAATCTAAGAATAAAACATATATGCTTTAAGGTTATGCTTTCAAAAAACTACTAAACCATTCAATTCTAACTATATCAGCACACATCAATTTCTTCCACTTCTCTTCAAAACTTCAACATCTTCAAGATCAACTGTAATGTCCGGTAAATCCAAAACTTTACTTTCCAAATCACTAACATCACGTGGAACTGGTTTATCTAAAAATCCAACTTTAACTAAATACCCCAAATAAATTCCAATAAGGTTTTCTTCAATCACCATACACTCCTGACCAACAATATCTCTAGTATTTCTATCATCTAATTCTGGAGATTTAGTACTACTCGGTAAATCATCTAATACAAAATGAAGCAAAGGATATAAAGCATTATCTTCTTGTTTTAATGTAAATTCCATTAGCTTATTTCTCCAAACTATATATTCTGTTTTTGTAACATCGTAACCATAGAGCGATAATGAGTTAAATAGATCAATAAATCTGATTGATGGATTTTTTTGATGTGTTATATGGAAAACACCTAGATCGGAAGCTTTGGATGATAATGATATCACTGTTACACAATGCGCAACATAGTCAACAGGGCACATATTGAGCGTATTATGGATTGTTGGAATCGAATGAAGTTGAATACAGCCTTTTATTAGACGCCAAATGAAATCATCCGTGTTTGTTACTAATAAAATAAGTCCGATTAGTTGGTCAAAATTAGTTAAATTAAATAATTACAAACCATTATATAAATCACATACCACCAGTTTTACTGTCCCCAACAATATATCCCGGTCTTACAATACAAGAACTCAACCCTCTTTTCCTAGCTTCCATAATCAACTTCTCTGCAACCCATTTACTTTGACCATATCCACTTTTTAATTCAAATCTACTACCTTCCAAATCATCGTTTTCACTAATTCCTTTACCCTCATCTTTTTCAATAATTGAATCACTTAACGAAACATAGTGCCTTGTGTCTAACACGGATGTAGAACTTAAAAATATAAATGGTTTGGAATGATGTGTACTGGCTAAATTTATGCACCATAATGTTCCTATAACGTTTGCAGATCTGAGTTTGGGATACGGATATACCCAATGAACCTATTATATTTATACAGTATTAGTATACAATTAATAATGAAAAGATTTATTTCTTAAGATTAAAAAATAATCAAAACAATAACAAAATTTACCAATGCGCCATTATGTATGACAACATCAACCCTTTCACTCAATGATTTCCAATCCGCCTCTTCAATTCCTAATCTATCCTTTTCTAAATCACCACATACTACTTCTAATCTTCCTTCACTTTCCCATTCA